GCCCACGAGTCACCGCTGAGCTCAGGTTCTGGACAGGGAAGAATGAGGGAGAGCCCTGTCCCTGGGCCAGCCCTTCCGGACTGGGGTGGCTGCCGACCCTGTGGCCTCTCTGGACTGTGCTGGCTTCCAGGGCATGGGGTCAAGGGTTTGTTTCTCTAGGGCTCTTTGCCAGTCACTTTGCATCTTCTCCAGGGCTGTTGGGGGTGGTGAGTGGGCCAATGAGGGCCACCCAGGAAACACTAGTTCTAGCTCATCTCCAGCTTAAAGAGTGTTTTCTTGCCTGCTTCAGATTTGGAGATGCTGAAGCACATAGGTGAATGTTTACTTTGTTCAGAGTCACCTGGCTGATAGCTGGTAGGCTGAGCCTACCTATCTTCGGACTTGGACGCAGTGGCTGATTGATGCATGTTGGTTGGCCACCACTCACGTCCCTCTTGCGAGAGGCTCTCATAAGGGACCGGGGAGGCGGAGGGGAGGTGCATCCCTGATCGCTTTGGTGTCTTTCCCTCCCCAGTGGAGCAGATTCTCTAACAGCCTGTGGATATGAAAAATAATTGCCTAAAACAGTTAAAAAATAATTTTTAACCAAGTTCTAAATGGGAATGGAGGCACAGAAGGATAGGAACACGGTGTGCCACAGCGTGTTTCTCCCGACACTGTGGTTCTGCAAATGTTGCAGGATTCATGCCACCTGTGAGGTCTGCAGGGCGCTCGTCTGGGCCTTCTGGCCAGGCAGAGGTCACGAGCAGTCACGAGCTCTGCTTGGCCTTCCAGTGTTTCCCAGTTAAAAAAAAAGTATTGTTACAGTGTGTTCGTTTCTTTTTTAGTTTATTTATTTTTGCCAGTACTGGAGCTTGAACTCAGAGCCTGAGTGCTGTCCCTGAGCTTTTTCACTCAATGCTAGTGCTCTAGCACTTGAGCCATAGTTCCACTTTCAGCTTTTTGGTGGTTAATTGGAGATTAGAATCTCAGACTGTTCTGCCTAGGCTGGCTTTGAACCATGGTCCTCAGATTTCAGCCTCCTGAGTAGCTAGGGTTATGAGTCAAATATGCTGGCTTTAAACTGACTTTTCACTGATTAAAAAATAATAATACCTAGCCTGTGGCTCAGGCCTGTAATCCTAGTTACTGAGGAGGCTAAGATCTAAGGATTACAGTTCAAAGCCAGCCAGGGCAGGAATGCCCGTGAGATTCTTATCACCAGTAAACCACCGGAAAACCAGAAGTGGCGCTGTGGCTCAAGTGGTAAGGGGCTTGCCTTGAGCTGAAGAGCTGAGGCACAGTGCCCAGGCCCAGAGTTCAAGCCCCATGACTGCAAAAATTTTTTTTTTAATTTTTTTAAAAGTATATAGGGTACTGTGTGAAGTTTTTGTGATAGTCTACATTGAAGAATGTTTCGACAAAGTTATGAATACCTGTCCTTTGGGCTACAGATTAAAAAAGGAAGGAAGGAGAAATAGACACAGCCATAAATACCTTGAGCAGGGCTGGCTACATGGGCTGTGGCCACACGCGCAGGAGGGCCCTGTGTTCAATCCCCAGCTGCCCTCCGGCTGAAAATTTTGAGTTTGTTTTGAGACAAGGCCTGGATTTTTAAAATTCTTGTTTTGGACTATGTAGCTGAGCCTGACTTTCTTGGTTAATGTGTGTGTTGTGTGTGTGTGTGTATTTCTTTTACTAAATTTGACTTGCAGATGTAGGTGAAGTGACTGCAGGCTGTCTCTCACCGTGGTAAGCCAGTGCAGCGCATCAGCACCCATGAGAACTCAGGGAATAAGCCCAATTGCCCAACTGCAATGTTTTCATTGTCAGCCAGGCTCAGGGGCAGTTTCCTTTTGTCTTTTCTACTTCTTGGTGCCAGTCCTGGGGCTTGAACTCAGGGCTTGGATGCTGTTTCTTAGCTATCACTCAATCACTTGACCCACAGCTGCACTTCTGGCTTTTTGGTGGTCAATTGGCGGTAAGAATCTTACAGACAGACTTTCCTGCCCTGGCTGGCTTTGAACCGCAATCCTCAGATCTCAGCCTCCCAAGTCGCTAGGATGACAGGCGTGAGCCACCGTCTCCTTGTTGGCCTCCTTTCTTTTCCTCTTTTTAAACAGGCATCCAGCGCCACACCCAGCCTAATATTACTGGTCTTCAGTAGAACTAGGGTGACACGCACCACGAGGCAAACTGAGCACAAGGAATCCAAAAGCTCAGGAATGAAAGCTCAGGAAGACTGTCCTGAGCGCCTGTACATTGAAGGCCCCAGTGCAGAGCAGACAGACCTCTCCAGCAGAAAGTTCCACATCCTGCATGAGGAGCTTGGTTTCTTGTTATTGTTGTTGTTTTTTGGTCCGGTCGTGGGGCCTGAACTCTGGGCCTAGGCGCTGTCCCTCAGCTCTTCAGCTCAAGGCTAGCGCTCTACCACTGAGCCGCCTTCCCAGCCCTAGGAGCTTGGTTTAGCATGGGGATACCGCAAGCGTTCTGGAAGTGTCGGCACCCGGGTACCCTGCCTTGATAAAATTTCGATCTCTCTGCCCTGGACTGAGCCGCTGACCACGCATCCACTGGCCTGGGGAGAAGGAACAGAGACAGCAGTGAAGACATGGGAGGAAGAGGGCGCCCCTCTCCCAGCCAGCCTCCTGCCTCCGCCGTGGGCGGGCGCTCCCTGGGCGAGGAACGAATCGTTAGGGATGCGGGGCATCTGTGGCTATCAAGGTGGGGGTGCCACATGCTGTCCCAATTGGCCCTGGCAGGATCTGGCCACCTCTGCCACTGCTATGTCCTGGGAGTTTCTGGGAGGGTGTGCAGCTTGATCACACTTCTAGGGTTGACTGCCTCCCCAGGAACCAGGTGTGGGAATCCGACCGATCCCAGGAAGGTGGCAGGTTGGGAGGTGGCCTAAAGGGAAAGCCCCCACTTTCAGAGAGGAGCCGAAGAGACAATGAACGTTGTCTTCCAGTCCCCCCTCACTCCCACAACCCCCCAAAAGGCTGTGTCTGTTGTTTTGGAACTAACAGGCAAAAAGTCCTGTTCTTCTGGCCTGCAACTATTCTAAATAGCAGGCTGAGGTGGAGTGTTTTTCCCATGAACAAATTCAGGTGGTAGGCTGGCTGGATGTGGGGGAGAGCAGGGCCGGTCCGGCATGCTGGGGCCAGCTCCCCACCCACACTGCCCCTCCGCACCTGACCCAGAGCCTGCAGGTCCCTTCCGGTTTGTGGGGACTTTGTCCATCCTATAGGCTGCTCCACGGCCTCCCTGACCCCCGATGTGTCTCCAGCACCCTACTCTGGGAAGCGTGGGTGCCAGGCAGAGAGAGGGATCAGAAAATGGTGGCTCAGGCCTGGACCAGCAGCACCAGCCCTTCACCTGGCAGGCCGAGAACAGGGCCCGGTATTCACTGCCAGTCCACTACCTTCAGTGGAAACCGGGGTCCAGCTGCCCGCGGTATCCCAGGCTGAGCCAGGTGTGGGTTCTGGGGTGAAGATGGGTTGGGCATCCCCGCTGTGCCCCGGGGGGACGTGTTTGGGGGGCCCGGGCCGCTGCTGTGCCCACCCAGGCTCTTCCAGACGGTTCCCTGGGGAGGGGACTGGCCTGGCAGGCACCGCCAGGCTGGGGCGCGGGATCTCCTATCGGGGCCAGGGCGCCCCGGTCCCGGGCCTGCGGGGCCGCCCGCCCTGCCCGGCCCTGTCCCCCAGTCTCTTCCTCCCCCTCTCCTTTGTTGGCAAGCCGGGCGTCGCCCAGGCCCAGCCCCGCGCCCGCCAAGCCCGGAAACGTGCCGCTCGGCGGCGGTGCACCAAGTTGGGGTGGCGAGGCCCGGGCGACCTGGGTGACCACGGCGCCCCGCGCCCGCGGGCGGGACCTCGGGCCGCGGCTGGCCGTGAACTTGACCCTCAGCTCGCCGACGACCCGGTAAGTCCTGCGCCCCGCGCCCGCGGCCCGCGCCCTCCGCCCCGCGCCCCGCGCCCTCCGCCCCGCACCCTCGGCCCGCGCCCTCCGCCCCGTGCCCTCGGCCCGCGCCCTCGGCCCCGCGCCCTCCGCCCCGCACCCTCGGCCCCGCGCTCCGCGCCCTCCGCCCCGCACCCTCGGCCCCGCGCCCCGCGCCCTCCGCCCCGCGCCCGCGCCCTCCGCCCCGCGCCCCGCGCCCTCGGCCCGCGCCCTCCGCCCCGCACCCTCGGCCCCGCGCCCTCCGCCCCGCGCCCTCGGCCCGCGCCCCGCGCCCTCCGCCCCGCGCCCTCGGCCCGCGCCCTCCGCCCCGCGCCCTCCGCCCCGCGCCCTCCGCCCCGCGCCCTCCGCCCCGCGCCCTCGGCCCGCGCCCTCCGCCCCGTGCCCTCCGCCCCGCGCCCTCCGCCCCGTGTCCGCGCCCCGCACCCTCGGCCCGCGCCCTCCGCCCTCGGCCCGCGCCCTCCGCCCCGTGCCCGCGCCCCGCGCCCTCGGCCCGCGCCCTCTGCCCTCAGCCCGCGCCCTCCGCCCTCAGCCTGCGCCCTCCGCCCCGTGCCCGCGCCCCGCGCCCTCGGCCCGCGCCCTCAGCCCCGCGCCCCGCGCCCTCCGCCCCGCACCCTCGGCCCCGCGCCCCGCGCCCTCCGCCCCGCACCCTCGGCCCCGAGCCCCGCGCCCCGCGCCCTCCGCCCTCGGCCCTGCGCCCTCCGCCCCGCGCCCCGCGCCCTCCGCCCTCGGCCCTGCGCCCTCCGCCCCGCGCCCCGCGCCCTCCGCCCTCGGCCCTGCGCCCTCCGCCCCGCGCCCCGCGCCCTCCGCCCGCCCGCCCGCCGGCCGTGCGCGGCTCGGGGCCCAGGGCGCCCCCGGGCGGGCGGCGCTCGGGGCCGGGGGCTTGGCCGGGCCTGGCCGCCCTGGGGCTCCGGCCTCCAGCACGAACAAAGGCTGGGAGTCGGGAAGGGAACGTCTCGACGCTTTCCCTCCCCTCGGCCGGCCGCCGCCCGGGCTCTTAAAGGGGAAAGAGCCGCAGGGCCTTGTCTGCTCCGGGCTCCTGGGGCGCAGGGTCCCCGGGCTGCACATGCTCAGCCCCTGCGGGAAGGCGGACAAGCCGCCCGCCCCGTGCCCGGGGCCGGGGGGCCTGGGGGGCCTGGCTCCTGAGCTGCCCAGCCGAAGCAGGAAGCCGTGGCCACCTTGGCGTGCCCGGGCAGCCTGGCACTCTGCTGGGCATCGCCAGTGCTGGGGATGCGGAGGAGCTGTGGACGGGGCCTCGGGACAGGGCCTCAGGGGACAGGGCCTCAGGGGACAGGCACTGGACCCTGTGGGCCTGGTCCCTGGGGAAAGACCGACCTTGATCCCTGCCCTCAGCCTAGTCCAGCCCATGGGTCAGGCCTAGCCACCCTTCTACCAGATTCTTCTCCCCCACTTTCCCCCTTTGGCTTTAAACTAGCAGCCTGCAGCTCTGGAACTGGCCTAGTCCCTAGGGGGCACCCATGGGTAGAAAATGCCCCATGGAGGAGCATAGCAAAGCCCCCACACTCCCCTGAGCTTGCTTCCTCCGTGCCCGAACCCTGGGGGAGGACATGTGACAGGCCTCCCTCCCAACACTGACCCCGCGCGGTGAGATGCTGGAGACTTCCAGGAGCACCCGGGCAGGCGGGAGAGGCCCCCCCCCCCCCCCGCACTCACCTGGGCAGGCGGGAGAGGCCCCCCGCACTCACCTGGCCAGGCGGGAGAGGCCCCCACACTCACCGGGCAGGCGGGAGAGACCCCCCCACACTCACCTGGGCAGGCGGGAGAGGCCCCCTGCACTCACCTGGGCAGGCGGGAGAGGCCCCCACACTCACCGGGCAGGCAGGAGAGGCCCCCGCACTCACCGGGCAGGCGGGAGAGGCCCCCCCACACTCACCGGGCAGGCGGGAGAGGCCCCCCCACACTCACCTGGGCAGGTGGGAGAGGCCCCCCGCACTCACCTGGGCAGGCAGGAGAGGCCCCCACACTCACCGGGCAGGCAGGAGAGGCCCCCGCACTCACCGGGCAGGCAGGAGAGGCCCCCCCGCACTCACCTGGGCAGGCAGGCGCAGGCAGGAGAGGCCCCCGCACTCACCGGGCAGGCAGGCGCAGGCAGGAGAGGCCCCGCATTCACTGGGCAGGCGGGAGAGGCCCCCCGCACTCACCTGGGCAGGCAGGCGCAGGCGGGAGAGGCCCCCCCCCCCGCACTCACCTGGGCAGGCGGGAGAGGCCCCCACACTCACCGGGCAGGCAGGAGAGGCCCCCGCACTCACCGGGCAGGCAGGAGAGGACCCCCCCCCCCCCCCCGCACTCACCAGGCAGGCAGGAGAGGCCCCTGCACTCACCGGGCAGGCAGGCGCAGGCAGGAGAGGCCCCGCACTCACTGGGCAGGCGGGAGAGGCCCCCCCCCCCCCCCCCCCGCACGCACTGGGCAGGTGGGAGAGGCCCCCCGCACTCACCTGGGCGGGCGGGAGAGGCCCCCGCACTCACTGGGCAGGCAGGAGAGGTCCCCGCACTCACCAGGCAGGCGGGAGAGGCCCCCCCACACTCACCGGGCAGGCGGGAGAGACCCCCCCCCCCCAGCACTCACCTGGGCAGGCGGGAGAGGCCGCCCCTCAGACCCCTGCACTCTGCGGCAGGCTGTCAGATGGGGTCTCTGGAGGAGGAAAGCCAGATTCCAGATGTGAAGGAAACACGTGTTCAGATCGAGCCCCCCCAAACCCCAAGAGGCTGCGGGGCCCATGTGCCCATGAGGTGGCTTGTGATTAAGGGGGGCTTTCCTGTGACCGGGGCCCAGCCAGGGCCTTAGAAGGAAGACGGGGTGGAAGGAAAGAGGGTTTTGTAGCTTTCCTGTGAACTTCACAGGGGAGCTGAGCTGTGCAGGTACCCGTGCCAGCTTGCTTCTTTAAGGCCTGATCTGATTGAGGTGAACTGAAGTAAAATTCTCCCCAAGAGGAGAGACTTGATGCGTGCTCTGGAGGCAATGCTCTGGTCCTAAAGGCGCAAGCAAGCAGTGCCGCCCAGGTGGTCAAGGACACACAGAAGGGGAGAGAGGACGTGGACTGTGAGCTTGAGCTTGGGAGAGGAATGAGTGAACTTGGACTTGAACTTTGAACTTTGTTCCTATCCCCGTGCTAGGCCAGTAACACCTGGCTGTATTGTTGTCCTGCCCCAAGGGCCAGCTCTGCCCACAGGCCTGGCCTGGCACAGCCAGGTCCTCCGGGTCTCACCTCGCCTGTCTGAGTCCTCACCACAACATGGGCATCCTAAAGCTCTGGCTCGGGTGTGTGCTGGCAGACCGCACACGTGCGCACGCCCCGTGTCCTGCTGGTCACCCCTCTCCCCCTCACGCATAGCTCACGTCCGCTCGCAATTGCTTGCCTTTCCCGTTACTGTTTGTGTTTCTTTTTATCCTAAGAGGAACGGTCAGCCAGCCCCTCCGAGCCCGGGGGCAGGCCCCAGCCCAGAGGTGCCACTGGCTCTCTGCATGGGCTAGCATCATTCCAGTGGGGTTCTCCAACAGCTACCCAGCCAGAGGCAGCGTCTCCTCACGGCCCCGGCCTGTGGCCCAGCTCTGGGGTCTGTAGCCATACTGACTGTCTGCAGGGATGCACGGCTCCTCCACCTCTCTGTTCCAGAAGATGGAGGACCAAACCACCCAGCACCCTTGAACCTTAACTTGAGGAGTAGATGGAGGACAGGTCAGCCACCAGCGGTAGCTTTGAGTCTGAGGTTTTACCAGGGAATAGACAAATAGACACATCACACATGACAAAAAAAAACAAAACAAACAAACAAAAAGCCAGGTACCAGTAGATCACACCTAGCTACCCAGGAGGCTGAGATCTGAGGCTCTCAGTTCGAAGCCAGTTGTCTAGAAAAGTCTGTGAGACTCTTAACTCTAATTAACCAGCAAAAAGCCAGAAAATAGAGCTGTTGCTCAGTGGTAGAGTGCTAGCCTTGAGTGCAAACACCAACAAGCAAGAGTGAGAGGCCCTAAATTCAAACCCCGGAATGGACACACACACACACACACACACACACACACACACACACACACACACACACAGAGCTGCAAAGGATCAACATGTATACTTTCAAAACAGAGTTGTATTTCTTGTCTGCAGCAGTCACGGAGACCAGCCTCAGTTTGTGGAGCCAGGGAAGGACACACCCCTCATTTTAGAGTGATTTAAACTTCAGCTCAAATGGCCAGGTTGTGTCTAGTGACCCCATTCACCTCCTGGCAAGCCGGTGTGTGCTGGGGACAGTAGAAAACAGGTAGATGCTTAGGTTGGGGTGACTTAGTCTCCTCAGGCTCCCAAGCTTAGGTAAAATAGAAGAAAGGGACTCATTGAATGGCAAATCAAACAAACCTACTGCCCAGAGTGACCCCTGCCTTCCGGAAACAGGAAAACAAGGTCCAGGTGTGTGGAAAGCCTGCGTCTCACCTGAGCCAGCTGCTCACAGTGCTGGATAGAAAGGCTGGAGGCATTGCTCAAGTGATAGAGCACCATCCAGGCAAGCAAAGCAAATAAGTATGAGGCCCTGAGTTCAAGCTTCAGTACTAGCACACATTAGCACAAAACAAAATGGGTGGGAATGTGGCTCAGTGGTAGAATGCTTGCCTCGCCTGCATGAAGCCCTGGGTTCGATTCCTCAGTACCACATACACAGACAAAGCTGGAAGTGCGCTGTGGCTCAAGTGGTAGCGCGCTAGCCTTGAGCAAAAGAAGCTCAGGGGCAGCACCCAGGCCCTGAGTTCAAGCCTTGGGACTGGCAAAAAGAAAAAAAAAGTTCACAGACAGTGACCCAAACTATGTTTTGCCAAAGTATGAACGGGATTGAGGGACAAAATAGGCTGCCCCGGGCCCTGACACTGTTGGCCAGAGGGAGGAGGGAGAGGAAGGGGAGGAGGAGGAGGAGGAGGAGGAGGAGTAGCTTCACCAGGAACGGGGGAGAGGAGGCTCCACCGGTGTTTTCCCACCTGACTGCAGGGCCCAGGGTACAGGGATGCGCCCAGCTGACCCCACATGGAGTGGCCGTGATGCAGGCTGCGTCCTGCGGTCTGTCCTTGCAGACTTACCTGGCACTGGGATGTGGGGGTCCCAGTGCCCTGTGGCCGCCCTGAGGCAGTGAAGACATGTTTCTCACAGCCTGGGAGGTCCGAAGTCTGATGTGGGCCTCACTGGGCCGAAAGCAAAGGTCTTGACAGAGCTGGCTTCTGGATGCTCCAGGGGGGGACAAAGCAAAGCACCTGTTCCAGCCTCCTCTACCTCCAAAGCCAGCAGTGTCCCCTGGCTGTCTCTCTGTCACAGCTTCGAGAGGTTGTCTGGCTTTGAAGGGTGAGGGTCACTCTCCCCTTCCTGCTTCTTATAACCCCCCACCTCCGGGGTCTCTGCTTCTGTCTTGCGAGGTAATGACCTTGGGTTCCATCTTGGGAAAACCCAAGAAAGGTGGCATGGGACACCAGGCTTGGTGGTACACAGTGGTCATCCCAGCACCGTGTAGCTGCATGGGTTCTACAGTGAGATCCTGTCTCCAAAAACAAAGCAACAAACCGAAGCAAAGACAACAACAGAACAGACAAAAAAATCAAACAGAAGTCAGGTGCTCGCGGCTCACACACGTAAATCTGAGGATTGTGGTTCAAAGCCAGCCTAGACAGAAAAGTCTGTGAGACACTTATCTCCCATTAACCAGCAAAAAACCAGAAGTGGAGGTGTGGATCAAGTGGTAGAGCAACCGCCACAAGAGAAACAGCTCAGGGACAGTGCCTAGGCCCTGAATTCCACCCAGGACCAACACAGAAAATAAGTGGATAAACAAACAAACACAATGAATCAGAACCGGAGGGTCTGGGCACTGTCTCCCTCCTCCTTATTGAGTCTGGAATTTGTCTAGAAAGGTCAGGGAAACTGAGGCCTGGCCTGGTCTCCTTCCAACAGAAACTTCTAGGCCGGCGGGGACACCAGCTTGAGGACTGCCTGAGCCTCTTGTCAGGAGGAGGGAGAGAGACAGACATGTGGAGAGTCCCTTTGGCAAGCCAGTGCCTCCCCGTCCTCCATGGGATGCACAGACAGATCCTCCTGTCCCTTGGGGAAAACATCCCCTGAGCCTCGGGGTCACTGCGAGTATCCAGAGCACTGGAATCTCTGCACTCCTTGAGGAATGGCTAGCAAGCGCCTGGAATCGCATCCCTGGAGAAACAGGCTCAGAGAGGTGCATTCATTTCTCCAAAGGCACACAGCCCCCTAGAGAGACTTCCTCTGCCTGGTCTCACATCCCTCTCGCAGGCATCTCTGCCCACGGCCTTGTCAGGAGGTATTCACTGGGTCCATAGGCTGGTGTGAGAGGGGCGCCAAGGTCCAGGGTAGAGAAAACTTAGTTGGAATCTTTGTCTGTCTCTCACAGAGAGGGATTATGAGCCTTGAATGTGAAGCCAGGCTGTTCTTAATTCGAATCCTGCTGCCAGGTTTTGGCAATCATAGGCCCACCTCAAGACAGTCTTCCCCCCTTCATTTAACCGGGAGCCATCCATTCTTTCCGGGACAACAGACCTCCCTCCCGCTTACTGGCAGGACAGCCCTGTGGTCAGGACCGGGTGGGCCCGGGGTCAGCCTGGGGCGCAGGAGCTCTGGGGTGAAGTGCGTGTTTAGGCCTGGGCAGTGGTGAGATGCTGTGATGAACACAAGAGAAGCTAGCAGGCTGCGGTGCCCAGGCCGCGGTGCCCAGGCTGCGGTGCCCGGGCTGCGGTGCCCGGGCTCTGGTGTTCCAGGCTGCGGTGCCCAGGCTGCGGTGCCCAGGCTGCGGTGCCCAGGCTGCGGTGCCCGGGCTGCGGTGCCCAGGCCGCGGTGCCCGGGCTGCGGTGCCGGGCTGCGGTGCCCAGGCTGCGGTGCCCAGGCTGCGGTGCCCGGGCCGCGGTGCCCAGGCTGCGGTGCCCGGGCTGCGGTGCCCGGGCTGCGGTGCCCGGGCTGCGGTGCCCAGTGCGGTGCCCAGGCTGCGGTGCCCAGGCTGCGGTGCCCAGTGCGGTGCCCAGGCTGCGGTGCCCAGGCTGCGGTGCCCAGGCTGCGGTGCCCGGGCTGCGGTGCCCGGGCTCTGGTGTTCCAGGCTGCGGTGCCCAGGCTGCGGTGCCCAGGCTGCGGTGCCCGGGCTGCGGTGCCCAGGCTGCGGTGCCCGGGCTCTGGTGTTCCAGGCTGCGGTGCCCAGGCTGCGGTGCCCGGGCTGCGGTGCCCGGGCTCTGGTGTTCCAGGCTGCGGTGCCCGGGCTGCGGTGCCCGGGCTGCGGTGCCCAGGCTGCGGTGCCCGGGCTGCGGTGCCCGGGCTGCGGTGCCCGGGCTCTGGTGTTCCAGGCCGCGGTGCCCAGGCCGCGGTGCCCAGGCTGCGGTGCCCGGGCCGCGGTGCCCAGGCTGCGGTGCCCGGGCTGCGGTGCCCGGGCTGCGGTGCCCGGGCTGCGGTGCCCAGTGCGGTGCCCAGGCTGCGGTGCCCAGGCTGCGGTGCCCAGTGCGGTGCCCAGGCTGCGGTGCCCAGGCTGCGGTGCCCGGGCTGCGGTGCCCGGGCTCTGGTGTTCCAGGCTGCGGTGCCCAGGCCGCGGTGCCCAGGCTGCGGTGCCCGGGCTGCGGTGCCCGGGCTGCGGTGCCCGGGCTGCGGTGCCCAGTGCGGTGCCCAGGCTGCGGTGCCCAGGCTGCGGTGCCCAGTGCGGTGCCCAGGCTGCGGTGCCCAGGCTGCGGTGCCCAGGCTGCGGTGCCCGGGCTGCGGTGCCCGGGCTCTGGTGTTCCAGGCTGCGGTGCCCAGGCTGCGGTGCCCAGGCTGCGGTGCCCGGGCTGCGGTGCCCAGGCTGCGGTGCCCGGGCTCTGGTGTTCCAGGCTGCGGTGCCCAGGCTGCGGTGCCCGGGCTGCGGTGCCCGGGCTCTGGTGTTCCAGGCTGCGGTGCCCGGGCTGCGGTGCCCGGGCTGCGGTGCCCAGGCTGCGGTGCCCGGGCTGCGGTGCCCGGGCTGCGGTGCCCGGGCTCTGGTGTTCCAGGCCGCGGTGCCCAGGCCGCGGTGCCCAGGCTGCGGTGCCCGGGCCGCGGTGCCCAGGCTGCGGTGCCCGGGCTGCGGTGCCCGGGCTGCGGTGCCCAGTGCGGTGCCCAGGCTGCGGTGCCCAGGCTGCGGTGCCCAGTGCGGTGCCCAGGCTGCGGTGCCCAGGCTGCGGTGCCCGGGCTGCGGTGCCCGGGCTCTGGTGTTCCAGGCTGCGGTGCCCAGGCTGCGGTGCCCAGGCTGCGGTGCCCGGGCTGCGGTGCCCGGGCTGCGGTGCCCGGGCTCTGGTGTTCCAGGCTGCGGTGCCCAGGCTGCGGTGCCCGGGCTGCGGTGCCCGGGCTCTGGTGTTCCAGGCTGCGGTGCCCGGGCTGCGGTGCCCGGGCTGCGGTGCCCAGGCTGCGGTGCCCGGGCTGCGGTGCCCGGGCTCTGGTGTTCCAGGCTGCGGTGCCCAGGCTGCGGTGCCCAGGCTGCGGTGCCCGGGCTGCGGTGCCCAGGCCGCGGTGCCCGGGCTGCGGTGCCCAGGCCGCGGTGCCCAGGCTGCGGTGCCCAGGCCGCGGTGCCCAGGCCGCGGTGCCCGGGCCGCGGTGCCCAGGCCGCGGTGCCCAGGCCGCGGTGCCGGGCTGCGGTGCCCGGGCTGCGGTGCCCGGGCTGCGGTGCCCGGGCCGCGGTGCCCGGGCCGCGGTGCCCAGGCTGCGGTGCCCGGGCCGCGGTGCCCGGGCCGCGGTGCCCGGGCTGCGGTGCCCGGGCTGCGGTGCCCAGTGCGGTGCCCAGGCTGCGGTGCCCAGGCTGCGGTGCCCAGTGCGGTGCCCAGGCTGCGGTGCCCAGGCTGCGGTGCCCAGGCTGCGGTGCCCGGGCTGCGGTGCCCGGGCTCTGGTGTTCCAGGCTGCGGTGCCCAGGCTGCGGTGCCCAGGCTGCGGTGCCCGGGCTGCGGTGCCCAGGCTGCGGTGCCCGGGCTCTGGTGTTCCAGGCTGCGGTGCCCAGGCTGCGGTGCCCGGGCTGCGGTGCCCGGGCTCTGGTGTTCCAGGCTGCGGTGCCCGGGCTGCGGTGCCCGGGCTGCGGTGCCCGGGCTGCGGTGCCCGGGCTGCGGTGCCCGGGCTCTGGTGTTCCAGGCTGCGGTGCCCGGGCTGCGGTGCCCAGGCTGCGGTGCCCGGGCTGCGGTGCCCGGGCTCTGGTGTTCCAGGCTGCGGTGCCCGGGCTGCGGTGCCCAGGCTGCGGTGCCCAGGCTGCGGTGCCCGGGCTGCGGTGCCCGGGCTCTGGTGTTCCAGGCTGCGGTGCCCAGGCTGCGGTGCCCGCGCTGCGGTGCCAGGGCTCTGGTGTTCCAGGCTGCGGTGCCTGGGCTGCAGTGCCCAGGCTCTGGTGTTCCAGGCTGCGGTGCCCGGGCTGCGGTGCCCGGGCTCTGGTGTTCCAGGCTGCGGTGCCTGGGCTGCGGTGCCCAGGCTCTGGTGTTCCAGGCTGCGGTGCCCGGGCTCTGGTGTTCCAGGCTGCGGTGCCCAGGCTGCGGTGCCCAGTGCGGTGCCCGGGCTCTGGTGTTCCAGGCTGCGGTGCCCAGGCTGCGGTGCCCGGGCTGCGGTGCCCAGGCTCTGGTGTTCCAGGCTGCGGAGACAGCGCCAGGCCCTGCCAGGGTTGCTGCTCTCCTTGGCCCTTCCTGGGCTGACACTGGAGCCTCGGAGCCCCCGGAGCCCCGGGGTGGTGGCAGCCGGCGTGGGCCCGGCGGGCACTCTGTCCGAGCCGCCTGGGACCTGGCATGGGGTGGGTTAAGCTGCGGCAGTGGGCATCTTGGCACACACTGGCCAGCGTGTCCAGCTCACCACCCCCACCGCTTTTCTTCCTTTTTATTTTTTTTTTTGCCTTTTTCCTTCTTAATTAATCATACGCTGCTTCCCAATTTAAATATGGAAATACCCAGGCAGAGACATTGCAATTATTCATGAGGCCGGGCGGGATGTCCAGGGCTCCCGGGCGGTGGAGCTCCCAGCATTGCCTCCTTTCTGATGTGTGTGAAATTATGTGCACAAAGACGCCTCCTTATCTGAGTGTGTGAACTAAATAAATAAATAAGGGCTTTTGTTTGTTTGCCGGCTTCTGCACATGACTGTTTTGACTAAACTGCTCGTGTTGTCTGTGTCTTTATGGGACTCAGGAGACGGGGGGTGGGGGTGGGGGGGGGGCGGGGGGGAGCTGCAGACCAGCCGGGGGGCTGGGGGGCAGCCACTGGGCACCTGGGGCCCACTCTCTCTCCTGGCACCAGCTTTGCTTCTGCACATCATCCCCCCCCCCCCCACATACCCTCATTGGAAAGTTCGCCCTGCCCGGGCTGGGCTCCCAGGCAGCCTGGCCCAGTGCCAGGCTCGCCGCTGAGCGCGGGCAGCAGGGTGGGGTGAGCAGCAGAGGCTCGGAGGAAGTGGCAGGGCGCCCCGGGCACGAGCAGGACCCGAGGCCAGGAGCCCAGGTCCCAGAAGGTGAGGGCACCCTCGGTGGGCACAGGGAAGGCGTCTGGTGGGCAGCAGGCCGTGGCTCTGGGCCGGGAGCGGGCCTCGGGTGCGTGCATGCTGGAGCGGGGAGACGGCTGGCGGAAGAGGAGGCACAAAGCAGGGAGAGCCAGGCGGCCGCAGGCAGCAGCGTGGCCGGCCCGAGCCAGCCTCCCTGCGGCGGGGCGGGGGTGTGTACGTACCCTCCCGCACCCCGGAGGACCAGCAGACACCGTAGGGAGTCCTGGTAGCTGGGCCGCCACGAGCATGGCGGAGGAAAGGCCAGGCCAGGCAGGCGCGGCCCAGGGCTGTCCAGGAGGAAAGCATCCCAAGGCCTGCAAACTGCTGTTCTCAGCTTTCCCCCCTCCTCTTGCCTTGGGGGGGGGGGGCGGGGTGGAGTGGGGGGGGGCGGGAGCCGTGCTTCCTCTGGAGGCGGACACAAAAAACTATGCAGATTTTTAACCATCTCCTGTACCAACCAGCTCTTCCTGAGCAGACTTTGGGCCCAGGGAAGGGGTGGCAGCTCGGAGACGCTTTTTCTGGGAGAGTCGGGAGGGCCAGGTCTCTCAGCCACCCCACGAGAGCATGGGGAGAGGGCCCCTCGCGCTTGCACAGGCCCGGCCGCCTGGTGTCCTGCGGGGCGGCGCAGCGCCAGGCCCTGCCCGTGAGGTGGCTCTCTTTGTGGAGACGGCAGTGGCCAGGCTCTGGTTGGAGACCTCGACCTGGTGCTGAGGACAATCTGAGTGGCTGAAGGGCCAGCCATGTGGGGTTTGAGTCGTGGAAGGATCTGGGGCCTTTCTCAGTGTTGATCTGGAATGTTCTGGGTTGTCTTGGATGTCCTATCCACCCAGGAGTTCAGGAATGAATTCTAGAGCAAGGGGAGGTCTGGGCAGTGGTAGCTGGCAGGCAGCCCCCGTGTTCTCCTGGCTGGTTGAGATGGAGGAGTTCAAGGGAGAGAGTCTGGGCCCACGCACGAGGCAGGCACACACCGAGGGGCCACGGAAGGTTTTACCTTTTTACTTCTTTTCTAATCAGAAGAGAAATGGCTATAACAATAATGAATATGTAATAATAAATTCAGCCTGAGTTTATTGGTCTTTAATCCGGTGCCATTATAAAATGCAATTTTTAATATTTATGGAGGAAGGTACCCGGAAAAGCGAAAGTGCTCTGGTCTCTGAAAGGCAGACTTGGCCCTGACTGGTCCTGTCTGACTCAGGGTCAAGGGTCAGAGGTCTGCTTGGGAGGGGAGAAGGAAGGGAGCTATCTGGATGCTTGGTGAGTCTGGCTGCTCTGCGGGCTGGCTGGGGTAGGGTGGCTCTGCTTGCTGCGGCCCAGAGTCAGGCCTGGCGTCTGTGTGTGTGTGTGTGTGTGTGCACACGTGTGTGCTGTGTGCATGCTCCCAGATACCTGAGCCCTCAGCCCAGGTGAGGGGACAATGTGGCCTTGAGGCCTGGTCCTCCCAGCTAGAGGCTCTGTCCTTACCATTGTCCTAGAAATCCATTGTCTCCCTACGAAAGCAGCTTCCAAGCTCCTTCCTGCCCGGCTGCCTGGTCCACGGCCGGAGCTGCACAGGGGAGCCCCGTCACTGCCAGGACCACAGTCGCGTGCAGCCGCCATATGTCTAGAAAGGAAGATAGGGAGGCCGGAGAGTGACATGCCTGTGGTTTTCAATCATTATTTTCAAGTTGGAAGTAAAAATGTCTAGGTGTCTTAAGTTAGGCTGTGTATACACATTCAAGTAAGATGCTGTGTGTGTGTGTGTGTGTGTGTGTGTGTGTGTGTGTGAGAGAGAGAGAGAGAGAGAGAGAGAGAGAGAGAGAGTTTTGAGGCTTGAACTCAAGGCCTGGATGCTGTCATTTCGCTTTTTTACTCAAGGCTGGCACTCTACCACTTGAGCCACAGCTCCACTTCTGGCTTCTTGATGATTAATTGGAGACAAAAGTCTCATGGACTTTCCTGCCCAGGCTGGCTTCGAACTTCAATCTTTAGATCTCAGCCTTCTAAGTAGCTAGCTAGGATTACAGGCATGAGTCTATAGTGCCCTGCTAGCCATGTTTCTAAAAAAGGAAAAATCAAGAGGCTAGAGTTGCTTTAACAATGAAATCCATTGACTCTAAGTATATATTCCCAATAGTAGTACTTTAATGTGCAGTTACTAGGAAATTACTAATGAGATTAATTTTTAAACACAGAATCCTCAAAAACCTGGAACATGTTTCTTTTTAATTGCTTCAACATTTTTATTTCTTTCATTTTTGTAATTCTTAAATTACTATAAAGGCGATGTAGAGAGGGGTCACTGTTTTGTAAGTCGGGTAATGAACACATTTCTTTTTGGGCAATGTCACCCCTTCCTTTGCTCTCTCCCAGTTTTTCCCTCCCGTCCCCACCCACAAGTTGCATAGTTCATTTTCCACATCGTGTCCAGTGAGCGCCGCTGCTGCACGGGAGCAGGTTTTTTGTACAGTTAGCTTCTCTGAGTTCAAGGCCTCAGTGTCTGCATGGTGGGGAGGGGTGGGGGGGGGTACTGCCATGCTGGGTAGAGCCAGGCTCAGTGGGTCCCTAACGTGGTCTGTTTTCCTCCCAGAGTTGGGAGACTGGCTTTCTGCTATACATAATTTTCTTTTCTTTTCTTCTTTCGTTGGTGTCTCCCTCTTGGCCCCGAGCAAAGGCATCTTCTGCTGCCCGGTCATGTCCCCAGAAGCCCTGGAAGCAGGAAGAATGGGTGTTGGACTGCAGGGTTTTTTTTGCGGGGGGGACTGCAGGAAAGGCCTCTTCACTGCTCCAGACGCCAGGGCCCATACAAAGGGCTGGCTTCAGGCTCACAATGGTGGGGTGGTTAGTCACTGTGCCAGGGCAGCGGGCAGGCAGACAGAGCCCCCTGTGTCTGTGCCTGTCGGCCGGGCCCTGCAGCCGCTCCCTGCCTGTGCTCCATCCCATTCCTTCCTGTGGGCTTTTGTTTGAAACCCACCCAGCTCCCGGCATTAACCCCCTGCTGCCTGCCGGCTACCTGGCAGCCTGGCTGGAGAGCCATGCCAGCTCTGCTTTCTCTCAGCCATCCTGGCCAGAGGCATGGCTCCTTCTAGAAGCAGGGCTCAGGCCTGGGTGATTTCTGAGGCTTCTCTGGGGAAGCAGCCACTGGCCGGGCTCAGTCCCGGTCGCCTAGGGGGGCTCTTCCAGTTAGTTGGAGAGCCCAGCTCACCGCGGTGGGGTGGGCTGGGGAGCCCTCATCAGCATTTGAAAGTGGGCATCGTTCAAAGATGGCATTTCTGGAAACAATGAAAAGCCAAAACTGAAAAGTTAGGGAGCAGCCTGAAGCTGGTGTCTGTACGTTTCAAAGGAAGCGTCAGGTGAGAATGCTCTAATCCGAGCGAGGATAGATGGATACGATAAAATAAATCAGTTGTGACCCTACCCTGTCTGGAGACTGACAACAAAGCCGTTCACCTTGCTCCTTCTAATTGAAATCTCCCCGCCTGGGCTACCATCCCAGACCTTCCTTCACAAACCCTGGAACTGGCAATTCTCAGAGGTTTGACAATGAAATTATCGACATCTAGAGAAGGTAATTTCCCCTTCCCAAGTGCAGAAAACACAGCGAAGAGTCCCTTTTTTAATTAAAAAAAAAAAACATCTCCACAACATTTCTGTGTCTTTGGCTTTTCTTTGGTAAACTACAGTGGCATGTGTTTTTGTTTTAGAAAGCAGAGATGCCTTGCTGTGCCCAGTGTAAGGAGAGAAAATAAAATAAAATAAAAAGAGGGCTTTAAAAAAAAAAGCCCTCTTTTTGTTTTTATTTTTTTGTTGAAAATACGGTCATCTACTTATAGCTTAGAAATCTCAAGTGCCAGACATTTTTCTTGGAGGAAGTAAATGTGTTCAATTTATTCATCTTACCTGTTGAGTACAATTTGTAGATTTTTAAGAAAACTATTGACTCGTTTCTAGCATCAAAGCTGCCTTTGGACTAGAAAAGCCTGAGTCTATTTGGTCTGTGAGGGCTTGGGACCACCCTGCTATAGTCCAGGGCAGCCACAGCCCAAGCTCTCGTCTCTCGGGCGTTAGAAAGCAAGTGATGGAAGACATATGCTCCACACACATCATTTTGTTCTGATTTATTTTTAAGCCAGTTTACATGATTTTAGCACAAAGAATGGTATAGCTTGCATTCTGAGAGCCTTGGATTTTCAGGCTGGAGTACAATTTTTTTTTTCCCAAATCCAAATTTAGAAATTGCCTTTTAGAGTAGAAAACAGCAACGTGGGTGTGCCTTTTAACCCAGTTTTAAAGGAACATAGTCAAGATCAAGCTCGTCCTGACCAGAGACTGGCCTGTCCAGCTGTTAGGTAGGAGCTGGATACCTTTAACCACCCTTAACACTCCAAATAAGAAATGGAGAGCGCTCCATGGTGGACACCAGGGTCTCTCAGGCCGGCCACAGCCTCCTGTGAGCATGTATTCCTTCCAAAGAGCTACATGCCACTGGACTCTGGTGGCTGTGTGGAAGTCTGTGTCTAGCTGAGACAATGTCACACGGTGGGCCTCTTACAGCCTGCCCTGAAGAGCAGATATCACTATCTTAAAGCAAACCTAACAATCGTTGCTAATTGTAGTTCTTCCCTGCTGAAGGCACCACCTGTAGTAATAGAAAAGCCAACGCAAATTGGGGACAAGAGGATACTCACCAGATCCCCAGGGGAAAATGGAGAATTCTCCCCCCCCCCCCGCACCCTCTCCCCCCCCTCCCCCCCCAGCTATAGGGATCCTGAGGTGGATTTTGTGGTGTCTGCAGTCACTATGTCATGTCCACAGAAAGAACCATGCAGTTCTTGCTACCCCCTGCTCTGTGTTTCCATCCAAAGTCAGTAATATAGTTAATTGTCATGGTTTTAAAATGGTCATCATAAAGGCTGGCTTTTGCATCGAATTCTGGACTAAAATTATGTTTAAATTAAAAAAGAATAACCTAAGAGTGCCAGGGCATGCTCCCTGCCCGGGGCTGCCGAGGGCTCTGACGCCAGCAGCCAACATTTGCTGGCCGAGTCTCCCAGTTTCATTTTCTCTTTGAGGCTGTCTCTCCTACAGGGAAAAAGCTGGAGACTTGGAAGCCCACTCAGCCTCCAAGTAACTGTGGTGGCCACCCCTGGGGTTTATGTAACACTCACTCCATGCTCAGGATCATGGATACAATTGTTTCAGCCACAGTTCTTTTGCTGATCCTGAGAGCCATGTGTGTCAGTGTCAAAAACTGGGGAAATGCAGAAAG